GAACTAATTTTCCCCTGTAAACTCCACTCCCCTTGTCCGGACAAAAACTCCTTTTATTAATTGACTGTGAATTCTGCTCATTCACATCCAGCAGTCTTTCGAGGGAGGATTTACGGTCACAGACCTTATCTGGCTTGGAGAGCTGCCACGCCGATATCTGCAAAACTTGGCAAGGAGTCTCGGAGAGACACGAACCAATGAAGCGAACTAATTGTCTCCTGCAAACTCCACTCCCCTTTCACTCCTCTTTTACTTCCTCTGGGAGGGGCCATTCATCGTCCACCTGTGGCCTTACTCTCAAGTCGACCCCTGTTCTTTAGCTGTTCCCTTCGTCTGGCCACTCTGCACATGCGCACACTGGGAACAGGCTCCAGCTGTTCTTCTGCCTCACTGATATCTCACTCTGAAGGCAGCTGATAACTGTCAGATGGCCCTGACGCCCTCTCTGCCTCCAACGCAGAGCCTTCATCCGAGCCTTCCCCAGACTCCAGGACTGGCCCATCTTCCCCCCCAACCCCCTCGCTGTCTGAATCCACTGCCAGCTCCACTGGCCGGCCACAACACTAGGACCAAATTCACAGCCTCCTGATTGTGAGCTCTAGACCACCGCACCACTCTCTGGAGAAATCACATATGCTGCTAATAAAATATTGATGCTTGCACTTTTCGATAATGAAAGCGAAGACACAACTACTCAATTTACAAAGCAGCCTAGCACAACAAAAGTTGCAAGCCTTGAGCTTTTCTCCCAGGTAAACGCAGACGGAAGCAGCCTCAGCGGTAAAACTTTTGCAAATGGTTTTACTCGCCCACATTGTTTCCAAACCACAATCGGGCACTGCAACCATCCTAAATATGAGCCAGTTGCCGAGCGTCTGAATTCTGATCGTGCGATCCTGGGGATGTTTCAGTAAGTGTGGAAATCAGTCCTAAGTCACTTTTCTAGGTGACATTGCAACTTCGAACAGTCACTCAATGAACTGTTGTAAGTCGAGGACTACCTATACATGTAACCACCACCACTACCCCAAAAAAATACAAGCCACCAAACTTACATTTTCAAAATCCTTCATGGTTCGCGCCCTGCTTGGTGAAACGGTTTCTTCGGCCACCTCAGGTAACGCTGCCAATAATCCAAATAAAGATCAAATATTTAGGCAGACATACACAGACAGACAGACAGACAGAGATTACATGGATGGATGGATGGATGGATGGATGGATGGATGGATGGATGGATGGATGGATGGATGGATGGATAGATGTTCTTTTGTTTATAAGAGCTTATTAGAGATGGATGGAGATAGATTTAAGTAGGTACGTAGGTAGGGACAGAGAGAGAGGGAGGGAGATGGGTGAGTGGGTGGGTAGATGGATGGATAGATGAATAGATAGATAGAGAGAGAGAGAGAGAGACAGACAGACAGACAGACAGAGGCAGACAGACAGATAGATGTTCTTTTGTTTATAAGGGCTTATTAGGGATGGATGGATGGATGGATGGAGATAGATTTAAGTAGGTACGTAGGTAGGGACAGAGAGAGAGAGGGGTGCATGGGTGGGCGGGCAAGTGGATGGATGGATGGATGGATAGATAAATAGATAGATAGATAGATAGATAGATAGATAGATAGATAGATAGATAGATAGATAGATAGATAGATAGATAGATAGATAGATAGATGTTAGATAGATAGATAGATAGATAGATAGATAGATAGATAGATAGATGTTAGATAGATAGATAGATAGATAGA